TGATACATGTGAAAGTGTGAGTGAATCTTGAAAAGGAAAACAGAGGCACGATGTCAAGTGCATACACAAGAAGCTATTGCATGGTTCCATTTCTTTGAAATGTCCAATTGAGCAAACAAAGTTCAGGGAGCCCTGGTGGCATAGTGGTAACACATTGGGCTACGATCTGCAAGGCCAGCAGTTCAAACCCACCAGTTGCTCCTTGGGAAAAAGATGAGACTTTGCTACTCCTGTCAACAGCCCCAGTCTCAGAAACCCACAGGGGCAGTTCTCCTTGGTCCTGTTGGGTCGTCCTGAGTCTGAATCAACTCGATGGCAGTGAGTTAGAGTCAGGGGTAGGGATGAGGGGGATGGAGTTACTGCTGAAGCGTATGGAGTTGGGTACCAAAATGTTCCCGAATGGATTGTGATGATGGTTACGTCACCCTGACTGTACTGTACAGAATGACTGTACTGTACAGAAACACTGAATTGTACACCTTAAATGGCTATAGTATGTGATATATGAATTATATTTCGATAAAGTTTGGGGGACTGCTTCCTGTCGGGCAATGGGATGAACATGCACCGAAGAGTAGACAGACACAGGACTATGAAGTGCTAACGGAGGGAAGGGCAGCCCGCAGTGCTGTTCGAATCCAGGACCGCGACGGTCAAAGAAGGCTTCCCGGAGTAGGTGCCCATGGACAAGGCCATAAAAGAATGGGCAGGAAATGGGGAGCACATGTTAGATCATCAGGGATAAAACCTTCTGAAAGAGCCACACTGCCGTCATTGTCGCTTTCTGCCTTTTATGACCCTTTGGGTGTCTCCAGCACCTACCCAAGGGAGGCTGGGTGGCCTTGCCTTCTCGGAAGGAGCCTCTTGCTGTGGTGTCCCCTGTATTCGGGAGCTGGGAGTGGTCAGAAGGAAGAAGGTTTGAGGACTGGGGCCCCAAAACTGAAGTCACTGGCAGCTCCCTAGGAAGGGTGCGGAGGTGGCCTCTGGGGTTACAGATGTGCCCCAGCTGCGCTCGGTGCGCCTCCTGCCTGGCAGTGTGACTGCTGCCGTGCCGAGGAGAGCTGCCGAATCAGCGTTCTCTGCCTGGGCCAGCACCTCAAGTGGAACTATCCGCATCTCTCACACTGAACACCACCTGGCGCTGCCCAAGGCCTCTCGCTGCACCAGGGAGCCTGGCAGCAGGTCAGGTCCTGGCTGGAGGGGCAGGAGAGCCCCCTTCCGGCTTTCAAAGCGCTCCCCTGGGCAGCGCCTTCCTGCGTCAGTGCCCACACGCACCAGGCTCCCTCCTCAACCGTTCCAAGGCTGCTTTATGGCACCCAGCCCTCCAAACCGGGGAACCGACCCGGTCACAGAACCTGCCCTGCAGCTGGCCTGCCCTTGGCTGCGGCGGTGTTTGGATTGTATGGCCAGCATGGTCCCAGAAGTTCATTCCACCACCCACTACTCGGCTGGGTGGCTGAGCCAAGATGCTGAGCTGTGCGGTTTTGGGGTCCCCACACCCCCAGCACTGGGCAGAGTCAACTCAGTGGAACTGCCTTTATTTGGTTTGGGGGAGTCTGGGCTGGAGTGGGGGCCAGGGAGAGGCTTGCTTGCTCTGCAAAGTGACCCGTGGGCAGAGACAATGTCACCGACAGCCAGTGAAGTGTGCTTCCTTTTCACGTGGCCGGACAGCCGAGGAGGGCCGATGCTGGGGCTCTGTTGGCTTAGTCCTGGTGGCAGGATTAAGTGACAAGTGTGGCTGACTCAGCACCAGGGGCTGGGGCTAGGGTTGGGAGGAGCAGGCCCTCTGGGGGCTCGGGGCTCTAGAGAGGACCCAGCATTCAGCAGGTGGGTTTGTCTTGAACTCACAAGGGGCCCAGACTAAAACAGAGGTAGATGCACGGGAGAATTTGTTATAGGGAAAAGGTAGAGAAGCAGGCTGAAAGATGTCACCGCGCCCAGCTTCCGCCCCCAGGCCTCTTTCTAGTTGGGGGAGACCCAGTTGCACCCTGATTCTGAGGGACCGTCACATGACTCCCTCTTCCTGAAGGCCCAGAACCCCCCCTGAGGAAATCCAGACTGCCCTTTGGTAGGGGCAGGCACAGGGGCTCAACCCAGAAGCCACTGGTTCTCCTCCTCCAGGAAGTCTTCCCTGACTTCCTTGTCCAGCTCCCACGGGACCTTTTCCTTCGTCCTCATCATCCCCCGTCCCACAAGCAGGGTCCTTTTGCCTGTCTGCCCACCTCTGGCCCCGATCAGTGTCCATAACCTTGCGCAGTCTCCATGAATCACAGAGGTCCCACGGAAGTACACTCAGCCGAAGGGGCATCTGCAGGAGCCAGTCGGGAGATGGACTCCTCCTCCCTAGTTTTTACATTTAAAATGGTTTGAATCCTAAGTACCCATTTGTGGAGTCCTGCGGTCAGACCTGCTGGGCAACTGGTACATGCATGAGGGCGGGGTCAGCAACATTCAGGTTTGGGAACGCATACCCGGCTTTTGTTTCGCGTCCATCTGCCTTCGAGGAGGTAAAAGTCGGCCACGATGCAGTCTGTCTTGTTTGGCGTGGAATCCACCAGTGACCCGGCCCTTTGTCTTTGGGCTCCAAGTGACCTGTGAATGTTGGGCAGCGACTGAACAGGAGAGTATCCTGAGAGACAGAGGAATGGAGACAGAACAACAGATACAGAGATAGACCTACAGAGATAGACCTCCAAGCCAACCATGCAGAGGCTCAGCATTGGTCTCCCTGCTGCCCTGTGTCCACTCCCTACCCTGTAGCTACAGCTGTCCTTTCCAAATAGGAACCAGACTGTCTATCTTTCTGGCTCAAAACCTTCCAGGGATTTCCCTGTCGCTCCGGAGAAACTCAGAGTGCTCACCTTGGCCTCCAAGACCCTCCCTGATCTGACCTCTCATGCATCTTGGATCTCATTGTCTGTCTCCATGGCCCTTGCTCACTCGACTCCAGCCAAACTGGATTTTCTGGGCTCTTGGCTCTTCCTGTTCTCTTTGCCTGGCACATTCTCCCCACTCCTGTATCCAAACGGCTTGCTTCTCCCACCTTCTGTCAGTCTCTGTTTTGGGGGCATCTTGGTGGGCATCTCGATAAGGCCTTCCTCAGCGCCCTGTACAGAATCATAGCGCCTTATCCCTACTGCTCGCTTATCTTCGGAGCATTTGCACACACACTCCGCCATCCCACCGACGCATGCCTTTCTGTTTGCTTCCCTCCCCTGGAGGGCAAACTCCACTAGGGCTGGGTCTCTGATTCTCCTCCTGACTGCCAGAGCCTTGGTGCCTGTGGCTCCAAGGAGGCACTCAGTAAATACTCGAGTGCATGGGTGTGTGAACGAATGAATGCGTGAATGAATGGGTTTCAGCCATGACGGCACTGACTCTCATACACAGACACACAGCCCACGCACTGGGGATGGATCCCGGCTCTCCCCACTCCAGCCCTGCCCCTGCCTGAAACGAGGCACAGAATCCCTGGACTTGTCCATCCGGCCCTCCTGTGTGTTTTTCCAGTGAGCACAGCACTTTATCCCAAAATAGCAGAAGGAAAAGCAGTCGTTTCTCCAGACCCCTGGAAACTCTTCCCGGGGGTGCGTCCCTGGGAAAACAGCAGTCTCAGGGTGGGGAAGATAGGAAACGGAGGAGGGGGTCTTCCAGCAGTGGGGGCAAGGGGATGAACTTGGCTTTGCGGTTAGAATCACATCTGGGTCTGTCTCCACAGAGCGGTTCTGGAAGGTGGGTGGTCTGTCTGCAGCATCCAGTGAACCCTCCCCTGTCCTGTCCCAGGAGGGCTGGGGAGGGTGGCTGGCTGATGACGTCTGAAAGAAAGCAGCCCCCACGAAGCCTCTGGAAACACCCCCTCTAGCCTGGTCTAAAAGACTGCCAGCTCCCCTCTCCCCCCAGCACCCCCCCCAACCTGGCTCAGGGCATCTCCAGACACCTTCTGCACCCACCCCCCACTCCCTTCCCCGCTTCCCTTTGAAGCACAGGGACTGTCTGGCCACCCTCTGGGTCTCTGCAGGGCTTGTTAATCGCCTGTGAAAGAAGGGGTTGGAAGTATCACTCATCCGTGTGATGATGACGGGGTGGGGGGGTGGCGGGCAGAGCAGAGTCCCACGTGTGGAGAATCTGCACCGTCTCTGAACCCACGCCCTCTGTTTGCCTTCTCAGATGCAGCTTCTGGATAAGTTTCCCATCGAAGGGGGTCAGAAGGACCCCAAGCAGAGGATCATCCCCTTCCTCCCAGGTAAGCTGGAGAGGCAGGCACAGAAAAGGGGGCTTCCCCGCCAGAAATTCTGCACCGGGCGGACCCAGGACTCTGCATCCTAGCACGTTCTCTAGGACCCCCGGGAGCCCCTGGCATCAGGGCCTGCTGTCCTCACTGGCTTTTCCCACCTTTCCAGCCCCATCCCTGCTAGCTCCTGGTCACATCACTCCCCAGGGGTCTCAGAGTTCTATTCCCGTCAAGAGTGACAGCTTCAGAAACTCACGGGGGCCATTGTACTCTGTCCTATAGGGTCAGCCACTCCATGGCAGTGAGCTTTCTTTTGTTTTGTTTTGTCAAAAAGCCCAGAGGTCATGGTCTCCTGTGGGTGTGGCCCTGGCAATGGATGCAGCTACAGGTCTGGTGGGCCATCTGTTTGGCTCCCTTCTTCCACTCTGGTCCAGTGCCCCAGGAAAAGATCACCGTGTTACAGCCAATTGGTGGGTGCTGATGAGGGGCTTGATTCATGCCAAGCCAGGACTACGTACCTGGAAGTGAGGACTGGGATGGTGTGGGGGCCCAGGGAAGAACTGGGTTTGTGCCCTTCTGCTAAGGAGCTCTCTAGGGGAGAGAGAGACTGCTGCAGAACCAGAGCTCCATCTCTGGCCCTGCTGGCTGCAGACTCAGGGTAGTTGGGGGTGGGGGGGTAAGGGTGGAGGAGGTGCTTCAAGATGTGACTGGCCAGTGCACGAGGTAGAGAAAGCAGAGGGATTGGGAAAAGACAGGGAATGGAGCCTTGGTAGTTCACTCATTTGCAAGTCAGATCCCGGCAGAACATCATGCACACAGCCAGGCATCACAGGGTCTAGAATGCAGGCGTGCGCCATCTCAGTGTGTGGCGAGAGCTCAGGGTGGACTCTGGACAATAAAATGTGGTAAAGGCCTGGGTCTCTTCTGGCCAAAGTTGGTGGCTCTCTTCCAGGAAAAGGCCACCCCAGCTGGGCTGGTGCTCACTGGCTCTGGGGACACATGGGGTGCCCTGCAGTCGTGTGCGGTGAGGGGTGTGGTTCTGTGGGCAGGAAGGAGCCAATACAATGGCTGGATCCAGGGGTTCAGAAAGAGACCGGGGTCTGACCTGTTTCACTGCAATACAAATCCTACTCACTGGTTTGTGGAGGAAGTGCCCCTGTCCAGTTGTTCTCACCAAGACTCAAACCTATCTTCTGGGCCCTAGAGGTAAAGAGCCACTGGTCTCTGGGCTCTTTGCCCATGCGAGGCCTGCAGAACCCATTGAAAGGCACGGAGAAGGCATGGGCTCCATGGGGGATACACACTTCTTCAGCAAAGCATCCTGGGAAAGGTGGGTGAGTTATTCCAGGGCCTAGGTGCCCTGGGGTAGAGGTAGAAGCAGGGAGGTGGAGGTGGGGGTGGGGGTGGCTTTCCCTAGGCTTGTGCCTCCAAACGGACCCCACATTATGTGAAGGTGAGGCAGACATACCTGCCCTTTTGGCCGACCTTTGGGGCCTCATCCCCTTCTGCCACATTCCTATCCTGAGGCTGGACACTTCATAGGTGATTTGTTCAGACTTGCTGCCCCATTGGGAATTGAGCCTGTTCGTTCTTCCATGCAGACAGCATTTCTTGAGCACCATCTCTGGGTTAATCCTTGTCCTAGGCGGTCTTCCTACCTCCACTCCGCTGCTTGCTGTCACCCTGCAAACTGGCTGGCCTTAAACCCAATTTAAAGAGTATTCAAATCTCTTCCCACCCTCACTTCATCAGCCAAATTGGCAGAGCTGGGATTCTTCCTCTGTGCCCCATGGGCAAGGAGGCATCACCACCACCAGCCTCACCCGGAGTCTGTCTTTGTCCCTGTTCTCTTATCCCCACACCTTGAAGGTTAGGGACCTGGGAAGCTCAGCCCGAGGACCAAGCATCCCAACAGCCCCCAGGCTGCTGTTGCGGACTCACATTTCAGGAGGGCTCCATTTGGGGGCAGGGCAGCGCCCTGAATCCCACGGGGCTCTCTCGTCCCATTGGGCAACCGAAGTTGCAGCTGCTGAGTGATTGCCCCGCAGTTGAGCCATCGCGTTGATTAGGGTTTCCATGTGGTTACCAATCGGAGCGTCCCCGGCTTCCAGAGCACTGTCTCCGTGAAGTCACGAATCGAGCGAGATTGCTGATCTAGTTTCCTAAGCCACAGCATTTTTTTTTTAAACAAATCATTTGATTTGAAAGAACAGATGCAAAAATACCAGGCACTTGAAAGACCTCCCCGCCAACACCAACACCGAACTGCAGGCTAAGTGGTGGTTTCCCCAAATGAAAAATCAAAGCACTTTTCACTGTCACACAGCCAGTGCATGTTACATCCCTCAGCCAGCTCCCCCATGGCAGCGTCTTATGTAATGACCTTACAGGACACACGTGGCACGAAGTGCGTTATCAACAGCAGGAAATTGGTATGAGCACAATTCAGTGAACTCAACTACAGGCCTGAGTCCTGGGTTTGTCTTTGAAGGAGACGGAGCGGGCCGTTAAACAAGCCTGCCAACTGGTGTTTAAGAAGGAGGCGGTGGCCTTGGCACAGTTCCCCCCGCCCAACTCCAGGCCTGACCGAGTAGCATTCATATTACCACCCATGGGTGGGGGTGAGCCTTGCTTTTTATTCTGGCGGAGTTTCAAAGCTTCCGTGTTGGTTCAGCTCATGGGGACAAAGCTCAGCCTCTTTTAGGGATCCCAGGTTGTTTCCTGTTTTAAAAGAAGCAGAGAAGGCTTTGTTTAAAAAACAATCCCTCCCGGATTGACATCTATTGTAAACATTTGGGTCTTGCCTTTCCTGGGTTTGCCAGAAGCGGGGCAGACCCAGTACTTGGAGATTTGGGCCGTGACAGCAATCCCAGTAGGAGACAAGAATGGCGATGACCGAAGAGACTTCCATTTGACCCTACTTGACACCAAGGTCGTTAGCCCAGCACAGTCTCCCCATGCTGGGTGCCTGCAGAAAATGCAAGAGTGCTGGGTCAGGGACAGGCGGCCTCATGAGGGCGCAGCAAGCAGCAGGAAGCCCAGCACATGCACATCATCTGTTCTCCTTGCTCCCAGGGCCCACGGAGGTGGCGCTAAGAGGCCGGGATGGATGGAGGGATGGAGGGATGGATGGATGGATGGGTGGATGGATGGATGGATGTCCACCTAGGCGGTGGGTTGTGTAATGGGAAAGGAACCCAGATTCGAAGGAAACGGTGTCTTTGGCGATGGACCGGAAGCAAACCTGTCCCTTGGCAGCATTTGAGAACCCGAACCCGAACCCAAAGCAAACAGGAAGCCATCGAGTGGGTTCTACTGCATAGGAACCCTACAGCATGGTACTGCCCCATAGAGTTTCCAAAGCCGGAATCACTGAGGCGGCAGAGTGCCCCATCTCTCTCCCACGGAGCAGCTGGTGTGTTCAGACCACCAGCCTTTCAGCACTTAGGTCCTGGACTACCAGGGCTACTTTTGCCCCAGCGAGATTTCCTGTCTTTTTTTTTTGAGACTTCCTGTCTTCCAAGGATATTGGGAGACCTGCCTGCTATGCAAAACACCTTGGAAAAGAAAGCACAGAAAGAGAGAGCACTTCATGCCTTGCTCACGAGGCGTGCAGAAGTGAGCGAGGTCTGCAGGGGAGAATCGTCTCCCTGCAAGTGACTCCTGTGCCTCTGGGGGTCCCCTGATCTTCAGAGGCCTGGGCAGCCATGAAGTCCTTCCAGACAGCGGATCCAGCTCAGCAGAGTCAGCAGCAGCCTCTGGGGCAGCCTGCTGTTGACATGGAACTTCCTGCAGGATTGTAAAGACGCTTGTGGAAAATCCATCTCCTGTTGCCCTTCCTGAACTTGGGAGTCAATTTCCTGTGCATCCTGAGTGTGCCCGCCTAAGGAGGCTGCCTGGGAGGAAATGGTCCTTGCAGAGTGAAGTGGAGCATGTGTAGCTGCTGATGTAAAAAGCACACGCCTGGGACCAGGCACCCAGGAACTTCAGATGCCCAGGCAGCGTCTGCATCAGACCCACCCCCACCGTTGCCCCAGGGCTGATGGGTGTCTTAGGCGAAGCTGAGTGGGTGTCTTAGGGAGAGCAGAAAACCTATAACCATTATCAAGGGAGGCATTGCCAGCCTGCAGGCGGGGGGCTGCATGCCGAGGGTGGTTCTTGTAGATAGCTCGCCTGCCTGGTTCCTCTGCACCCTCGGCTCCGGAGGCAGGCGGGTGTCAGGGAATTGCAGGCAACTTCTCTTTCTGCAGGGCCTTCCTCCCCACTGCCCTCCTCCCCAGGCTCTGTCAGCAGATCCGGTGTTTGTTCCCCTGCCAAAGGAAGTGTGTGTGTGTGTGGGGGGGTGATCTTGAGCAATGGCGTGGGGAAGAAGGGCTGCTGTAGGCGGTCCCCCATATCTCCACCAGGTGCCACCATGGGAAAACCCTCCCTGGAAGGTCTCGGGCTCTTGGAGATGCTGACAGGCCCTGTAGCACCCCCCACCCCCCCACACACACACATCCCTCCCCCGGGCAGGGTCCTACTGGTGACCTGGAGAGGCCAAAGCAAAGTAAGGCCCGCCGGTAATGCTGGCTTTTTTAAAAGGTGGACTCAATTATAGGCCTGAGCCGGCCCCGTGTGCCGACTTCAAGCCAGCTTTCCTCCTACCTCCTGTGCCCATTACGTGCTGCGTCTCCTCTTGCCGGTAATTACTCCCCGACCTCCCCAAATCACTCTCCTACCCTGTAATCTGGGGTGGGTACTTATCAGGCTGCCTGCTCTGAATGTGTGGCAGAAGTTTATCCTGCAGAGAATGTGTTACGGGGCCCTTCCCCTGTGCCTGGCCCAGCTGTGGGTACTGCTGTCCCAGCTGAGGACAGACAGACGGACCGAGATGTCCTTTTCAGGAAGCGCCCTTTCCAGTGGGAGAGGGGGGGTGTCAGACCAATAAATGAGGAACTTCCAGGAGTGCTAAGTGCTGTTGTTATTCTTAGGCGCTGCCCTGTTTGACTCACGGCAACGCTACGGACGGA